GAGGTGAACGTAATTAAATTCTAATTAACAACATTTTGCGACCCAATTCAACACAATGAACTAAATAAACAACCCCAAGTGTGCGTTAAATCCTCCTATCTCCAACCTTGCATCAGATATGCAATCTACTGTATGTCCGCTCGGTTTCGACGATTTCTTTGTTTCACTATATGACAGTTCGAGGGTGTGGGGCAGAGGCCTGACTAAAAAACAACTATATGTGTAAGTCAGCACTGCTCCTTTGGGGACTGTTGTTAGTAGTGCCCAGTGCTTATAAAGACTGGAATGGCGGCATTAGGCTGGCACGAGTCATGTGGTTTTTGGAGCTCTCTTTGTCCCCTGGGCGCGGTGCTCGTGTTCATCAGTCTCGGTACGTGTCTAGTCGCTAGGGTGCATCGAATCGATGGTCAAACTATCAGGGCGCATGCACAGTCCTTACTTTCGCGTCTCCAGGCCCTCCCTCCTAGGGCCTGCTCTTTGAGGCATGACGTGACGAGAGGTGGTCGAGACCAATTGAGGGGTAGTCGGAGTATCGTATGATCTGAAGAGAATGTGCGTGGTCTTGAGCGGCTAGTAGGGAAGAAGCTACAGCATTTTGCCACGATTCGTTGGAGGCCTTAGGCCAAGAGTGCGGGGTGGATTTTCAGCAGGTCTTAATGCATTTAAGGATTTCCGTCATCATTGCTCCCAGGGGGAGGGGACAATGGCAGTATTCTTGTCAAACTCAATTAACTAACCATGGATATAACCCTAAGGCAAAGCTGTCTTGTGAGGCTCCCTAAAAATAAACTCCCCCCGCCCAACTGTGTCACGGAATTCGTGGTTCCAGGTTATATACTGCATGAAGGAGTATTAAATTGAGTGGAACGTAAATTAAAGGCACTTATAATTGGTTTAGTGAGGTAAATACAATCAAATCGACCAACATAATCTCCTGTTGCTTAGGTTACTGATGCCTTTTGGCCAATAATAATATTAGTACATAATTCCTATTTGCAGAAATTCGACCTTAGGCAGGCGGAATCTATTTCAGGCGGCCCCACGTCGCAATCCTACCAAATTTATCATAATAGCAGCATAGGTACTAGCTAAAAGCCCAGACACGTGTTTCGCCTGGTATTCTGCTTTATGGGAACCTTCGATCAAGCCTGGTACGACCTATTGAAAATCTACTCCCTGCACCAATTCGTGAGGCCTTTTTTTGTTTTTTTGACTGTGCAAATAGGCGTACATGCAGTCCTGTCTCCATTTCCGCCCGCAGATGTCTGATTGCATGTGCTTGATCTGCGTGCAAGTGCTAAGATTTATGACTTCAAGTATGCGGGCGTTCGGAGTTTAATCATGCTGCTCATGAAATCGAGTTCACCGTTTGTAACACACATAAATTGTCCTAGATAGGATAAAACTAACATCCTTAGATGAAGGCTGGCCTTGAAAGTTGCCGGGAGAGAGACCAGACTAGGCATTTCTGGCTCATTAGCTATCATCAGGCAGTCATAGCAAGCCCCGGATGGTG